GGAGTGCAATGGCGTGATCTCGGCTCACCGCAACCTCCGCCTCCTGGGTTCAGGCAATTCTCCTGCCTCAGCCTCCTGAGTAGCTGGGATTACAGGCACACACCACCATGCCCAGCTGATTTTTTGTATTTTTAGTAGAGACGGGGTTTCACCGTGTTGACTAGGATGGTCTCGATCTGTTGACCTCGTGATCCACCCGCCTCGGCCTCCCAAAGTGCTGGGATTACAGGCTTGAGCCACCGCGCCCGGCCTGTCTCCCCCACTTTTATTATGGACAGTCTGAAGCACATAAAAATAGGGAAAATAGTATAATAAATGTGTACATGTTTCATACTCAACTTCTATGATTAGAAACAAATGGTCCATCTGGTTTCATCTAGGCCTCATTGCTGTCTTTTCATCTCCATCTGGATTACTTTAAAGCAAATTCTAGATGACATTCTCCTGGGCATTTCTGCCAGAGTTACCCTTCCCTTTCTAATGTGAAAAAATGCCCATGTTAACTGTAAAATAACATGTGTCCTCTTTAGGTGTCTAAACATTTTAATTTCACAGTGTTAAGGCCTTAAAATATACCTTAGATATATATTTTTTCTAAATTAAAAGACTTTTTTTTAAAGGTATACAGAAAATTAAGCAGAAAACAATGAGTTTCCATATACCATCTTCACCCCAACAGTTTCCACATCAACATATTGTGTTAGTGTGGTACATTTGTTACAAAGGAGCGAATATTTATACATTATTATTATTGACTAATTTTATAGTGTACCCCAGGGTTCACTTTATGTTATGTATTCTACGGACTTTTAACAAAATGTGTAATGACATGTATCCACTATTACCGTGTTAGGATAGTTTCACTTCCCTAAAAATCTTTTGCACTCCATCCACTCATTGTTTGGTCCCTCTCCCCACTCCTCCCTCCCTCTACCTTAAGCCCATGGTAACCCCTGATCTTTTTACTGTCTTCATGGTTTTCCCTTTTCCAGAATGCCATGTAGTTGGAGCCATATAGTATGTAGCCTTTTCATTTGGCTTCTTCCACTTAACATTGTGCATTTAAGGTTTCTCCATGCCTTTTTGTAATTTGAGAAGCTCATTTTAAAAAAATTTTATTCTTTTAGATTGTTGAACAGATAAATACAAAACTACCATCATCATTTGTAGAAAAACTGTTTATACCATCATCTAAACTACTATTTTTGCGTTATCATAAAGAAAAAGAGGTAAGTAACACATTGATAATAAATTTTGTCAACTTGAGTCACTGAAGAGTTGGACCTAATGTTGCTTACAAGGCTACATAAGTGAAATTGAGTGAAATGAGAAATGTTAGATTTAGAATATGGTGATTGTATTTGTTCTTTTAAGTTTATATTTTTTGATAATCATACTGAATACTTTGATGAATGATGTGCCTGATATTCTTCAGACTATGCATCTTTTGCTGTTATTTGTCAAATTTTCATAAGGGTAAAACAAGCTGATACATTTATAAAGTTGCAAATTAAGAAGTACTGTGCATTTTGTAAACAAAAAGACTGGCTTTTCAACCACCCCCAGTCACCTCCACCACAGACTTTTCTGGTAGATTTAAAAAAAAAAAAAAAAAAAAAAACACCCCCCCCCCCCCCCCCCCCCAAGACGGGGTTTCACCATGTTGGTCAGTCTGGTCTCGAACTCCTGACCTCAGGTGATCTACCCACGTCAGCCCCTCAAAGTGCTGGGATTACAGACGTGAGCCATCGTGCCCAGCTTCTGGTAGATTTTTATGAAAATCAGTCTTAAGCCGCTGTTTGCATGTCTTTTGTTGTTGATTATGTTAAAAAATAGTCATTTAGGAAATTTCATATAGACTGTTTTCATTTACAGTACTCTTGTGATAAAACTTTGTAGATTTAAAATAGTATACTGATATGTGTCAGTTTTCTGATTGTTTTTTTAAAAATTAAAATGTTAAGTTTTACAGGCAGTGAATTGATTAATCTTAAATTTATTTGTATCATCAGCACTATACATATAGTGATTTATTTTCCATATAATTTTAGAAGATTTATTTTCCATTTAATTATCACTTCCTTGAATTTTTCATTTCTCAGGTTGTTGCTGTAGCCCATGCTGTTTATCAAGCAGTGCTCAGCTTGAAGAATATTCCTGTTTTGGAAACTGCCTATAAGTTAATATTGGGAGAAATGACTTGTGCCCTAAATAACCTCCTACATAGTCTGCAACTTCCTGAGGCCTGTTCTGAAATAAAACACGAGGCTTTTAAGAATCATGTGTTCAATGTAGACAATGCAAAATTTGTGGTTATATTTGATCTCAGTGCCCTGACTACAATTGGAAATGCCAAAAACTCACTAATAGGGGTGAGTCTTTAATTGTAATGACTTAATTTTATCCACAGTTAAACCTTTTCTTATAGCATATTGATGTATTTCACTATCATGTCAACATGTCTGTAGGGTCACTGTGTAACCCATAGCCATATTTAAAACATGCCTGGATAAATAAAATTGCTAGGAACATTTTCTTGTCATTATATTTAACTTGTCTTTTTCCTTTTCCATGTTGAATCTTGATAAGGTTTTTTTAATATTAGTTTTATTTTCTAGAAAATATTTTAGGAATTTCCCCTATTTGCTCTAGCATGCTTACAGAAAATGTCAATGTTTCTTACAGCTCAAATTTGTATAGTTCTTTTAAAATGCATTCTCTTTCTTCTTCCCCTGGTACTTTATTCTTTCTTTCTATTGAAGTTATTTTTTAGCCATAGTCTTATATTTTGGCTGTCTACTTTTCCCTAGGAACATTGATAGAGTTGAAATATTCCTTATCTGAAATACTTGGGAGTGTTTTAGATTTTGGATTTTGGAATATTTTGCTAACACTGGTGAGCATCCCTAATCTGAAAATCCTAAATCTAAAATGCTCCAAAATTTGAAACCATTTTGAGCACCAGTATGATGCCCCAAGTGGAAAATCTCACACCTGTCCTCATGTGATGAGTCCAAACTTTGTTGTATGCACAAAATTATGTACAATATTGTATAAAATGACCTTTGGGCCATGAATAGAAGGTGAAACATAAATGAATTTTGTGTTTAGATATATATATATGTAGATATTCCAAAATCCAAAAAAATACAAAGTCGGAAACACTTCTGGTCCCGAGCATTTTGAATAAGGGACACTCAACCTGTATTCTTTCTTTTGGGGGGGGGGGAATTTTTTTTTAACTTTTTTTTATTTTTTATTTTTGATACAGATTCTCACTGTTGTCGCCTGGGCTGGAGTGCAATGGCGTGATCTTGGCTCACTGTAACCTCCGCCTTCTGGGTTCCAGCAGTTCTCCTGCCTCAGCCTCCCATGTAGCTGAGATTACAAACGCCTGTTACCGCACCTGGCTAATTTTTGCATTTTTAGTAGAGGTTTGCCATGTTGTCCAGGCCCGTCTGTGACTCTTGATCTCAGGTGATCCACCTGCCTTGGCCTCCCAAAGTGCTGGGATTATAGGCGTGAGCAACCATGCTCCGCCTGTTTTTTTGCTTTAAGTAATTTGAAGTGGTTCTGCTCTTGATTCATATTTATTGCTTATGGCTTGTGTATTTCTTCTTATTGGACCACGCAGAGTGGAAAAACATTATTTTTAATAGAAAGTAATAGGTATAGGCCAGGTGCTGTGGCTCAGGCCTGTAATCCCAGCACTTTGGGAGGCCAGGGTGGGAGGATCACTTGAGGTCAGGAGTTTGAGACCAGTCTAGCCAACGTGGTGAAACCTTATCTCTATTAAAAATGCAAAAATTAGCTGGGCATGGTGGTGTGCACCTGTAATCCTAGCTACTCAGGAGGCTGAGTCAGGAGAATCGCTTGAACCCAGGAGGCCGAGGTTGCAGTGAACTGAGATCATGCACTGCACTCCAGCCTGGGTGACAGAGCCAGACTCTGTCTCAAAAAAAGAAAGAAATGAGTGTAATTAGGGGATAAGATTTTTAGGAGGAAAATGGTAAAATCTGATATTTATGCTTGCATGTGCTCCATGTTGTTTGATTGGATTGCCTTGTATCATTCCATAGCTGCTTCCCTTATTGCCAGTTATGGCTTATATTTAAAGTCTGCAGTAAACTCGTCTTCATACATAAAAGCTTGATTTTTGAGGAATTCCCATTATTTACAGATTGAAAGATATTTATGTCCAGCACTCTAGAAATAAGGAGAAAGTGGTTGGGGATGGGACAGTCAGGTGGAATGGAGTGTCTTAGTAGTATAAAGGAAAAAAGTGGATGGAAAAAGTATAGAGTGGCAGGTTTCGCCTTTGTTTTCTTACTGAACAGGGCACCTTGCCATTTGCGGTATATGGAAAATGAAGGAAATACAGTCTGTTCCCCTAAAAGGCACATACAGAGGGCTTTGTTTAGACCTGAGATCAGCAAACTGTGGTCTGTGGGTCCAATATGGCCCAGCACCTGTTTTTTGTTTGTTATTTTAAGTGTATAATTCACTGATTTTTTTAGTATATTCACAGAAGTGTGCAACCATCACCACACTGGTGCCTGTTTTTATAAAGTTTTCTTGGGTCCAGTCTTGGTGGCTCACACCTGTAATCCCAGCAGTTTGGGAGCCCAAGGCAGGCAGACCACCTGAGGTCAGGAGTTCAAGACCAGCCTGGCCAACATGGTGAAACCCCATCTCTACTAAAAAAAAAATAGAAAAATTAGCCGGGTGTGGTGGTGGGTGCCTGTAATTGCAGCTACTCAGGTGGCTGAGGCAGGGAGAATTACGTGAACCAAAGAGACAGAGGTTGCAATGAGCTGAGATTGCGTCATTGCACTCTAGCCTGGGTGACAGTGCAAGACTCTCACTCAAAAAAGAAAGTTTTCTTGGAACACAGCCACTCTCAATCCTATGTTTTGTGTGTGGCTGGTTTTATTTTGCTTGTTTGAAAGAAAGAGAGAATCTTACTTTTGTCATCCAGGCTGGAGTGCAGTGGTAGGCTCTCAGCTCACTGCAACCTCTGCCTCTCAGCTTCAAGCGATTCTTCCATCTCAGTGCCTCAGTAGCTGGGATTACAAGTGTGCACCACAACGCCAAGCTAATTTTTGTAATTTTAGTAGAGAAGGGGTCCTGCTGTATTGCCCTGGCTGGTCTCGAACTCCTGGGCTCAAGTGAACCACCCACCTTGGCCTCCCAAAGTGCTAGGATTACAGGTGTGAGTCATAACACCAGACCTGTAGGCTGTTTTCTTACCATAGTGATAGATGGGGAGTTGCTGCATTGCACAGAGATGCTATATGGCATGCAAAGCCTTTACAACTTTTCTTCACAGTAAAGTGTTTGCCCCAGGTTTAGTGTACTAGATCCCTTTTAAATTTAAATCTGTAATTTTAATTTAAAAATGTCTAAATATCCCTATTTTGAAGGATAAACTCTGTATGCTTCTGTGTATCTTGGAGAAGCCATAAACTTACTTTGTTTTGTACATGATCAGATGTGGGCGCTATCTCCAACTGTCTTTGCACTTCTGAGTAAGAATCTGATGATTGTGCACAGTGACCTGGCTGTTCACTTCCCTGCCATTCAGTATGCTGTGCTCTACACATTGTATTCTCATTGTACCAGGTACTGTATTTATGAATTTTTCTTAAGAAAATAACCCCACAAAACATTTTATTTTTTAATGTATAGATTTTTAAAATGTATGTTGATTTTAACTTTGGACTTGCTTTCTTTGCTTGATTAAAGATGAAAAGATAATCTATACTTTGTCTTTCAGGCATGATCACTTTATCTCTAGTAGCCTCAGTTCTTCTTCTCCTTCTTTGTTTGATGGAGCTGTGATTAGCACTGTAACTACAGCTACAAAGAAACATTTCTCAATTATATTAAATCTTGTGGGAATATTACTTAAGAAAGATAACCTTAATCAGGACACGAGGTAACAGATATTTTATAGTATTAACTGTTCCTAACGTTATTTATTTGTCTTTATAGTTTGAGAATAAGAAATGTGGATTACAAGAAATAATAAAATAAAGGTGGATGTAAGAGGTGAGGTAGAGGCAGCTCGTTCGTTGTTGAACACCTTATAATTTGGCTTTATTATTTAATATAGGCTTTCTTATTTTTCTGAAAAGAAATACATGAAAAATCTCAATCCCCCATCTCCAATGTTTCATAGGAGACTATATATAGATTTTTAATATTCTTTGCTTTTGTTTTTTGTTTTTTGTTTTGAGATGGAGTTTTGCTGTTGTCACTCAGGGTGGAGTGCAGTGGCACGATCTCAGCTCACTGCAACCTCTGCCTCTGAAGTTCAAGCGATTCTCCTGCCTCAGCCTTCTGAGTAGCTGGGATTATAGGTGCCCAACACTATACCCAGCTACTTTTTGTATTTTTAGTAGAGATGGGGTTTCACCATGTTGGCCAGGCTGGTCTTGAACTCCTGACCTCAGGTGATCCACCTGCATCAGCCTCCCAAAGTGCTGAGATTACAGGCATGAGCCACTGCACCCAGCCTCTTTGCTAGTATGCCGCTTTAGGAGGTTTTCTTAAAAGGCACACAGCTATTTTGACAGTAATTTCTATAGTTTCATTTTGTATTTTTTGTTTTTTATTGCTTGAGGTGTTTGAAAAATCAAAAGAAAACCAGGGTAAGAAGACTAGCTTTTTCAGGTGTTTTTTTTTTTTTTTTTAAATGTAAAATCTGTTGTATATTTTGTGTTTCAGGAAACTGTTAATGACGTGGGCTTTGGAAGTAGCTGTTTTAATGAAGAAGTCCGAAACATATGCACCTTTATTCTCTCTTCCGTCTTTCCATAAATTTTGCAAAGGCCTTTTAGCCAACAGTAAGACTCTGTTTTATAAAAAATTTTATCAACCCTAAAAAGGGTCTTTGGTAATGGGAGATGGTCATCAATCAAATTCTTTTCCCAACATGAAGAGGTATAATCCCTGTTTTAATGAGAGATACACAGTCTTCTTTTTTTCATTTTTAGTATTAGAAAAATGTTTCTGAAGTGATTGTCACATTTTTACACTTATGTGAATATTTATAGCTTGCATATACTTTTACATTTTCTCTCAGTAAAGGGTTTGTGTGATGCCCAGTCACTTACATTACGTGGGTTTTGTTGACTGTGTCATTTTCGCAATGTGACAGTGAGTGAGGATGCCAGATAAGAACAGTGCCTAGTCTATATAGTAGGCACTCACTCTGTGTTTAGTGAATGGATTCAGATAATTATGACTGGGATATAATTTCTTTTGGCCAGCTGAAAGTAACTGTCTTTTAATGTTTAATAGCTCTCATTGAAGATGTGAATATCTGCCTGCAGGCGTGCAGCAGTCTACATGCTCTGTCTTCTTCTTTGCCAGATGATCTTTTACAGAGGTATGGAGTTAAGATCATGTCTTTTGATACTGACCCTAATAATCTGGAAATGTTAACACACCTGCTTTGTCTATTTCATTCTTTCATAGATGTGTTGATGTTTGCCGTGTTCAACTAGTGCACAGTGGAACTCGTATTCGACAAGCATTTGGAAAACTGTTGAAGTCAATTCCTTTAGATGTTGTCCTAAGGTATAACAATTGTTTTGGAGCAAAGACATTGTGTTAAATTTACAGCCTATTAGTGGTCTACTTTAGAAAAAGATAAATCGTCTATTAGAGCATTAATGACATATCTTTTATGACCCTGCTTGTCAGTGATTGAAGTGATGTCAAAGAATCAAACTTTGCAGGTCTGCAAGAAAATGAGAACTTGTTAATGGGCTTTATAGGCTCACAATAATTAGTATAGAATAACTCATAGTGCCAAAATGTGTCTTTTAGAATGTCAGATATTTGAAAAACTAAACAGTAATCTTTTATTGTTTTTGATCAAGTTGATTTGGGTGCTTTAAGAGCCTAAAATTGATCCTTTTGTAATACATAAGCATGATGATTAAGTTTTTATGTTCACATGTTAGATATACCTACCTCAAATCCTCTTATGATGTCGGCAGATTACCCATCTGACGTGAATGAAAAAGGAATCTAAATTTGTAATCACATCTCTATCCATTTTAAAGTCTCAATTTTACTGTATTTTTACTTCCAGTGAGTTAATAAGTAAATAACCCATTTACAGTATGTGCTAACCTTTTAAGCTAAAACATTTTGCATAACAGCAACTTTATTTTCTCTCTACAGCAATAACAATCACACAGAAATTCAAGAAATTTCTTTAGCATTAAGAAGTCACATGAGTAAAGCACCAAGTAACACATTCCACCCCCAAGATTTCTCTGATGTTATTAGTTTTATTTTGTATGGGAACTCTCATAGAACAGGGTAAGGCTTTTTTTTTTTTT